CGAGAATTATCTGTATTCTGCTGATGCTTAGCCAAGCTGCTGTTTTCAGTTTGAGGGGCCTCATGCCGTGATCACACGTCTCTCCGTGTTCCTTTTTAACTTGAAGCCGGAGTTTCGGAGTTTCAGATATCACACCCCAGTTGTCCGTGTTCCAGTGCTAGCAGAAAAAGCTGCAGCAGGTTCATGGAGTTAAGCTGCCCAGGGCTCTGTGTACAAGCCCAGCTCCAAAAAAGTTGTCATGCTGTGTAAAGCGGAATTTATGGTCCAGCAGAGGTAGCACAGGGACGGCCTCTCTGCCAGGTGCAGGCGGGGTACAAAGTATGCCGATGTGTGTGGGCCACTCTTGCTTGTGCTGTTGTTGGTCTGTCAGCCAACCGTGGAGGAAATCGAAGCTATAACATAGAAACAGCTGAAGTGGAACCGAGTGTTAAAAACTATGAAGTGTCCACTGCAGCCACCGTCTCTGCTTTTCCTGCTGTATTTCTTCATCTTTTAAGTTTTTTTGGTGGTTCTCCTGTTCCCAGTGAACTCTGCTGTTGGTCCCTCCCCTCCCCAGGCCCTTTTGTTAACCACTCATCATCCGTAGACCCTTCATCTGCTTCCACCGACGTGCAGTCAGGATCTTGGAGGTCTGAGGATTGTGGTTAAAATGTAAATAAAAGCTAAATTTAATAATGTGCAAATCTCATAAACTCACATTTTCTCAATACCAGAACATAGAAAACATATCAAATGTCCCACTTTCATAAAAAACACCGGCTCATTTCAACTTTAACGGCAACAACACATATTATAAAAAGTTGTGACAGGGCCATGTTTACCACTCTGTAGCATCCTCGCTTCTACTGGCAAACAGTCTGCAAACATCTGGGAACTGAGCGGACCAGCTGCTGGATTTACAGGAGAGGACTGTGTCCCATTCTCGTCTGATCCTACTGTAGGTCTTGATCTCCTTTTTTTAAATTTTTAATTTCATGTTGCTACAACTGGTTTTAGTCAGCAACTCGACACCCGGGGTCTTCTACTATGGAGCCATGCTGTTGTAATAGGATGGTGGTGCTTTTGGATCATATTTTTTGCATGTCAGAGCCTTTAGCCTGGATTTGTGGATGTCGTGGTTAGCTCTGTTCATGCACAGTGATTCCTGGGCCCATGCAGTCGCTTCCATGAGAGACTCATGCCTGTTTATAAGTGCTGCCCTTACAGCTTACCAGTATGTTTTTTTGGCCACATCTAAAGAGCTGTTTCTAAAGGCTTGGTTTCACTTCTGCAGACTGAGAACGGCCCGAGAGCCTCTCGGACCCCATGCTGTGGCTTCACAGTAGCAGCTTCCAGATGCAAATGCCAGCCCTTTTAGTTGCTTAATTGATGAAGACACATCAAAGGAATAGCCCACACATGTCCATAAAAAAGCTTTTGAGTCAATTGTTCAATTACCTTTTGGTTCCTTGGGGGGGAAAAGGTAGCTTCATATTAAATTAGCTGTATTTCCTTAACACTTTCTCCAATTTTGAAGCGAATAGCCTCAAATTAAAGCTGAGAATCTGCACTCCAAGCCCACATTCATTATGTAACTGTAACACGAATGCTTCGGTAAGCAGCTGAAACTGAGCATATGGCTAGAAGGTAATGGCTGTGACGGAGAGGCTTGATTGCATATTGAGGAGCCGATATGGAAACTCAGATGATTACAGGTAGATCGCAACCTCTTGACAATCTAAGTATCATACTGATGTTTAAGTGGCATACAGAAGCTGTGAGCTTCCAACGGCAAAGCATCTTCATGAAAATGCATTACGAGATCACAATCAGTCCACGCGCACATTTGTAGCGGTTTTTCAGATATCTGCAACGTCACAGCAAGTAAAATACTTTGAGAAAAAACAGTGGTGAGGTCGATAAAGAGTTCCTCTCGCATCTCAAAAAGAGGAAAGAAATCACTTAAACTGTAAATCAGTAGCACAGGAGGACAGTACAGTAAAGAAAAAAATAGTCATTCCTACCTAATAGCACATTAGCACCTAAGCACAATGAACAGAAAGCAGCTTGTGCTCATTTAGTAACACACACACACAAAAAGCTTTTGTGCGCCACATACGGTTGTATTTATAGGTACAACGACAGTTTGTAGGATGGCCTCGACCTTTTGGCTATCACGTGCTCTGTGGCCGTGGCCATGAATAAATATTATAATACCCACTAGAGTACTAAAATCTCAATGTTTATGTAGCTCTTTGTATTCAGTGAAAGGTAACAAACACTCGTCATCTTCAGCATCTTAGGGTTCACAGAAAAATGAACATCTGCATAGCTCGAGGGCCATATCTGGACACTTCTACCAAGCAAGACTCTCAATGTCTGCTTGCCTGCATTGTGGCTGTATAATAGTGAAAGGAAGGGATTGGACTTAATAGAAAGAGAAGCAGGTATAAGAGGTAGGAAACCTTTTCACTCTTAGCCTAGCTGGTCTTTACGTTCGGCTCGTTTTTGCCTTTTCTGGTTATATTGATGCGCCGTGGTTTGTTTTGTTTGAAGCTAATGGCGATCCAACGAAAGAATGAACAGTAAACAAATAGACAGACTCAAAACTGATTGAATGGGAGCTCACATATATTACAGCCATTCCACGTCCACGGTGTAGAACCGCAAAGTTGGGAAGTTGGGAATTCAGTGCTTCCTGAGCACCAAGTGAATCTCGTCTACATGACCATCAGTCTCAGTAAGCATGACGTGTACAAAGACGAATGCGTTGTCAGAGCGACAGGGTTGTTTATTCGCTGTTCGGTAAAGTGCTTCATCATATAAAGCGTTACCGCACCTAGCTGGCATAAAAAATGTATTCATTTGTTATCAGCCATGGAATTCCTTCTTTTATCAGTAATGATAATAGAGTCGATTTTAACATTCAGATAATTGTTACAGGGGTAAAATAAAAGGCTGTTCTGGTAACTTTTATGGCACATCAACTTTTCTGCTAGCAATAATCGTGCAAATAAAATGAATCCATTTTCAGTCTGTATGTGTTTCAATGGTGTTTTAATGAAAAGCGGCGAGGCAGGGGTTTGCCTTATAATTCATATTCTGTGATGGAGCAACACCGAGATAAGCCAGGCGGATGGTGACATGTAATCTGAACCCCACTGTTTTTTTTTGGGGGGGGGGGGGAGTTGTCTATGGAAATGACTAGCTTCTTATCGGTGGAGTGGGTTATTTGAGCAGATTCTCGCTGTGGCTTAGTGAAGGGACTCAATCACCACTGCCCAGCGATATGCCTCACTTTCGTCCCCCATCATCCCCCCTTCATCTTTTTATCTGAGGAAAGGAAATGAAAGGATGGTATCTGGTACTCTCCGCGTCCTCGGTTTAGGAGATGGAGAGGAGCGGACATTTTCTTTTAGGCTTTAACTCGCTGATGAAAACATGCGGTCTATAAACCTGCGCTCTGAAAAGAAATACACTGGCAATTTATTGACTCTGGATGTGCACCGACTCAAAAAGGAAGTAGTTATGAGGTAATTTGTGGTGTGACAGCTGCATTTATAACTCTGGAGTAATCAAGCTTTTACACATTTTGGTTAAAGGAACACCATTTTTCCTCATTTTCTGATTATCTTCTGGGCTTTTTCTCTTGTCTCCACATTTTTCTTGGAGGTTATTGCACACAGCCACTGGAGATGATGCTTTTGTTTTTCTGTGTACGTGTACAGTATGCGGTTGATGTAGGAAAATGTTTTTTAATTTGCAGGTAGAAATGGGTTTTGGGTGTGGAGAAGAGCAAAAATGGGACAGACAGAAAGGCTTGAGAAGTTTGCAGTCCACAGTAGGTATATAAAGGGAGGGCCCAGTGACAGATGTCAGGGCTCGGTCATGCATCATTTATTAGTCGGTAAATTTCAGGGGAATCACAGCGTTCGCTGGTTTCTCTACAAGAGGCAGAGTAAATGTACCCTGTCCGACTACTTTGGTGAACCTTAAAAGGCGACTCACACTATTTTGCATCCTTGACAGTTTTGTCCTAAACTAGGAGAAACTATTGCAATGCCTTTATGTCAGGCTGGAATTGGACTTCTGTAAAAACACACAACAATCTCACCTGTGTCTTACATCAGAAGAGGTTGTGACAAGAAGCCAGACTGATACAGGAATAAAGCAAGGTTAAGGCTTTACAGCTTAAGTTGGGAGCTCTGTTAGGGCATCATTCGGCACCGTAATGATTCATCTGAATGATAACATCAGCACATTAGCACAAGTATAAAATCCCATGTCTACTGTATGATTTAAAAGCACCAACATTAGTTAACAAGGATTAAACCTGTCTGTGTGACCAAATCTGGTGTATTTACATGACAAATTTAAGTGCTTATGTTAATTAATGTGCGCTGTCCCCTTTAAAGAAACATAACCAAGGAGCTGAGCTGTGTGCTATTAGTTTTACAGGGTTTTAGGGGTACTGCAGGAGAATTTCTAGAGTCCTCCTTGTTCCTGTGAGCTGATAGGAAGGCAACAGTCAGTCAAGTGACAAATAACCACGTAGCCAAGTTATGCAGAAGAGAATCTCTGAACAGATCATACCTTGACGCAGATGGGCTACAGCAGCACGAGACCACACTTGGCTAAGAACAGGAAACTGAGGCTACAGTTTGTACATGCTCACCAAAATTAGAAAATAGAACAAAAAATGTAATCTGGTAAGAAGAGTCTCAATTTCTGCTGCAAAATCCAGCTGGTAGTGTCAGAATTTCATGTAAACAACATAAAAGCATGGATCCATCCTCTCTTGTAACAGTTCGGGCTGGTGTTGGTAGTTTCACGGTGTAGGGGATGTTTTCTATGTGAAGTTCAACACATAGACAACACATCCAAAAAGATATAGTCTGCTGAGTTTTAGTGTAACTGAGACGTAATATACACAATAAAAAGGTAGAATATATATATATATATATATATATTAAGAAAGATGGAAAAAAGATGGCTGATAGAATTAAAAAAAGAGCTCTTACTTTGACAGTGTCGCCTCTCGTCAGGACGTCCCAGAGTGTGCTCTGAAACTTGGAGAGATCCATCCTGTGACCTCTGTCCAACAAAGCCTGGGAGTGAGAGGAAAATCAGAAAGGTGAATCAAAGCGTGACAAACATGAGTCTGAGCACCCGAAAACAGCTTTACAAAGACATTCAATGTGCAACCGTATCATATAAATTAGTTGAAAACAGCCCACATTACCAGCACTCAGTATATGAAGTTCCTAATAAATAAATAAAAAATTCAATATGACGGGCACCGCAAATATGCACATCTCCCCCTAAAGCACATATGCATTCTGACAGACACAAGCTGGTAATCTTGCATCTGTTGTGCAGTGTGCCTGGTGGCCCCACAGGTATAGGCTTATAAAAAGTGCCTTACATAACTGATAATAAACTGCACATCATCCATCTCCCATTCAGCTCACCTCCCAATAATCCCCGCTGCCATATCTGCTTATCTATTCAAGTCACCCTCTCATTAAATCAGCTTTTACAGCCAAATGGAAGAAGTTTACTACTCATAGAAGTCAAATACCATTCATCATGAGGAAGGCTGTAGTTATACAGATATAGACTGCATGTTTTAATTCACTGGAGGACAAACGCATCCTTCCTCCTATCTCAATAAACATAGACTCCTGCAGAAATAAATAAATAAATAAATAAATAAATAAATAAAATAAGGTGGGGGGAAAAATTGACAGGCGAATTAATCTGCTGCCTTTTGCCTGCCGAAATGGAAGTCAGTGAGGCGGCGCATACCAGTGGGTGCCCATCAGTCACAAGACCTTGTGCGGGGCCCGAAAACAGCTGAATGTGATGCCACTGCACATTGGGAGGTAAAGGATGGTGACAGAGAAGTTGGTACAGCTTTCAGTGTTTATTCATCTGAAACAGTGTCCCCTGGAAGCCATTTTGGCAGCAATGTATCACAGCAGGCGCTGACCTTTAGATGCTATGCACAATTAAGCTAAGCTAATAAACACAACTGCCGATCTGGACTCGTGGAACGGAAGGCAGGTGGCTGTGAATCACGCTGGACACGTGAATGGCATAAAGCTCACTTGGGTGGTGTTTTCAGAGCGAAAACTGAAATGTGTTTGTTATGGAGGAAATGAGCTGAATTTCGAGCTTTGTCTGGTGCTGTAGAGGCTTTCTGATGCTCCGGGTGGCCTCTACGCAGAGTACAGAATTGTCCACGCGCTCAACTGAAGCAGTCCTTCGCTGAAAAAACATACAGTAACCTTGCCTTGACAGCTTAGTTAGTTAGTTAAGGTTTTAGTTAATGGTTCTTGTAAGAACTGCATCGGGCTGTCTAGACATTAGTATTGTGTAAGAAAAGGAAACCTGGCAAGTCTTTTTTTTCTCTCAACTTTTTGGCTTCAATAATATTCATATTGTCAGTTACCTCATCATATTAACCACGACAAACAGATGTACTGACGAAGTGTACACGTGCAGGAACACAAGTGCCTGACTTTTGCCATTTTCAGAAGTTGCCCTTTCTTGGCACACACCAGGTAATGATCTTCTACAGAAGCATTTTCACCACAGGAAACACTATATTTGATCTACGTGAAAGCGTTTCCTGCAAAGCATGTAGGAGGGGGTGCACCTGCTACCAGATCCCTGGTACAAAATCTGCTTAATATCCAGGTGTGCACATGTAAGAATAGCGCAGTTAGCAGTCAGATTAATTCACAGCACACAATTAGACAAGTGTGGGGACATCATTTTTCCTGCCTCTTACAGGAAAAATGATGTCCACACACTAGGTGGTACTCCTGTCTGAACTAAACACAGTTGAACAGAAAAATTTGCTATCATGTGCAACATGTCTTCTTCTACTTCTTCTTTCAGTTAATCTCTTTAAAGGTAACCACAGCGGATCATCTTCCTCCATCTCACCTTTTCCTCAGCATCCTCCTCTGTCACACCAACTCTCTGCGTGTCCTCCGTCACTATATCCTCAAACCTCCTCTGAGGTCTTCCTCTTTTCCTCCTGCCTGGCAGCTCCACAGCCTTTGTTCAATATATCCACTGTCCCTCTTCTGCACATGTCCATTCCAGCGTTGCTTCTCTAACCTTTTCCCCAAACTGCTTGGCCTAAACTGTCCCTCTAATGTACTCATTTCTAATCTTGTCCACTCTGCTTGCTCCCAAAAATCTGAGCATCTTCAGTTCGGCCTCCTGTCTTTCTGTCGGTGCCTCCGTCTCCAAACAACACACGACATCAGGTCTCACTACCAACTTGTAAATCTTCCCTTTTATCCTGCTATCCTTCTGTCATAAATCATCCTTGACACTCTTCTCCATCCTGGGTGCCTCTCTTCATCACCTCTCTTGTGTGCAGTACATTGCTTTGGATGGTTGACCCTAGGTAATTAAACTCAACCACTGGTACACCTGTCTCCCTCTCATGAACACACACGTTCTGTCTCATTTCTACTGACTTTCATTCCTCTTATCTCTACAGCATACCTCCACCTCTCCAGGCTCTCTTTCACCTGCTTCCTACTATCACTACAGATCACAATGCAATCTGCAAACATAACAGTCCACAGAGACTCCTGTCTGTCACTCTTACCACACACTCCTGTCCTCATACGTGTCCTGCAATACCCTCACATACCTCTCTGCCACTCGTGACCTCCTCACGCAGTACCACAGTTCCTGGCACTCGATCATATGTTTTCTCTAGATCCACAGAAACAGAGCTCAGCTCCTTCTGACCATTTCCATACTTCTCCATCAACTCTCTCAAAGCAAACATCACCTTTAGTGCTCTTTCTCACTCATCGTGACCTCTTTTGCAACCTAGCTTCAACAATCTTTCCCGTATCTTCATGGTAAGGTTCATCAGCTTTATCTCTTTGTAGTTCCTACAGCTCTGCACATCACCCTATTCTTTAAACTCAGTACTAGTACACTTCTTCTCCAATCCTCAGACGTCCTCTCACTCTCCAGGACTGTGTCAAACAATGTGCTCTCTGACCTCTCTCCTACACAGGCATGAGCTACAAGTGTGGTAGAATATTCTGACCTGAGAGTCTCGACATTTTCAGGAGTTCACGTGTAGAAACATCTGGGTCCAGGGTTCTCAAAGAGTGAGAGGCCATCGGTAGCTCCCAGTAACAACTTATGAGCCCCATGATTGCATCAAAGTAGGAATGCACATAACATTTATCCGTGCTCTATATGCCATCACGTCGTAGCGCGTAATCAAATTCAGGGAAAGTATCTTTCCACTTCAACATCTTTCCATTAGTCATCACGACAGAGTAACCTTGAAACGTAATAGCGAGACGCCCATTACATTTCCCTCCACTAAATACAGCTGCACAAAGAAATGTAAGATTCATGGTTATGTGAAAATTCGCCAACAGTTCTGAGAAATAAGCTCCACACTTCATATAGTCAAACGAACGCACGGGCTGATGAATCAGTATGCAAAGATATTGCCTTACAAGAGAAAAGAGCTCAAATAACATGGTTACATACTTTGCTATGTTATTTGATAGATCCAGCCGGTCCCAGAAGCACAGTTCTACAAATACCATTTATATCTACCTGGCAAGAGAATATTGGGTTTCTAGTCAAAGTTATGAAATGTATCACCTTGCAAATATGTGAAAAGAGCACAAACAAAAAGATGAGACATCCATTACCATGAACCCACACAACTGAAAATATTACCACTCCCACGCCGTATTAGTACATAAGGCATAGAGGATTGTACACATGCATGAGTAGAAAGTCACACAGGTAATAAAGCTGCAGCTACTTTTGTTTATTTGCCTCATGTACGAGTCCCTCTCCCTTCATTTAGGCTTTTATCCTTTGCTCAGTCGGGTACCCGGCAACAAATACACAGACACAGTACGTTGTTCAGACAAAGCAGTACTTACAAGTTAGGCGCCACACCAGCTTCCACAGTTAGCATGGTGAAATTTTCAGCAGTAAGCAATACCACTTAATGTTTTAATTATCATTAAAAAAACTGTGTTTGATCATCAAACTTTTATCAGTCACGGAAAACAGTGTCCTCATTTACCCAAAGGCAAGTGCGCAGGTGCAGCATGCAACGTGGGTTTGCTTTGAATCTAAAAAAACACAGCTCAAGGCAGTGAGGGAGCTCTAGAGATTTCTCAGCCTTCTAAGAGGACCAACCCCTCTTTCTCTTTTCTCAGGCTGTACATCCTCGATTCCTTTTCGCGTGTTTTTAGCCCTTGCCACTAGAGACGCAGGCGGGGGAGGCGGGGAGAGAGAGGAGTCGGGCAACAGGTATGTAACAAAATGAGACATCCTTGCTTCGGAGCCATCGTTTTAAAAGCAGTGTCAATTAAATGTGACATGTAGCACACAGCTGCATTGTGCTGTTTGCTTTTTCTTTTTTGTGATCGCAGATGTCAGATAGGCACGACAGTGTTTGTGACAGCATATATATATTTAGGCCCACTTTTAATGAAATTCCCAATGCAGCACAAAGTGACAAGAGTGTACAGACACACTTTTTTTTTGGAATCACACACATATACAGTGAAGGGCAGAAAGTCTGACAAGAAAAGACACATCTGAAGTTTGGCTGCAAGCTGGAGTTTAAAAGAGCACTGAGGGCGACTTGAGCTAAGATGGTCACCCTGTCTGCAGAATGAAAACAGCTTCGTGGCCACAACCGCAGGCTTTAAAGGAAATGCAGGCTGAGTTCATGTTTAGCCGAGTGCACGATGTGGGGATTTTGGAGCAGGGGAAGAATGTCAGGGTTTGTCTCTTTAACTCGCTAACAGCTTGTCAAGTATGTAAGCGGAAGCTCTCGGTGTCTGCGGACTAGTTATGTACATCAAACTGCTTCTAAAATATCCTCAATGAGAGAGACACACTGTAGACCCATGGGTGACAAACTCTTTTTATGACGTGGGCCACAAACAGCCCACTTTGAACTTAAACGGGCCGGACTGGTGAAACTCCTGTATAGAAGTTTAACTACACATTTAAAATCCCTGATATATATTAATATAAGATAAAGAAGTGCAGTTCCAGCAAATGAAGGAAATCTGTCAAT